ATTTTATAAAACGTTTTAAATAATAATATAACTATTAAAATTTTAAAAATTGGGTCTACATTATCGACCAAAGTTGGTCGATAATGTGAAAGTTTCTTTGACTAAGCAAGTCTGACCAGCTCGGTCAACTTGTTGACCAAATTACCGACCAACATTTGTCGGTATTTAAAATAAATGTAAATATTTTTCTCCCAGTTCCGTCCAACTTTGGTCGCTTTTGTTGACCGACCAAAGTTGGTCGAAAAATTCAGATTGGTATTTATCGGATTTTTAGTAGTGCTATTTTCCCTTCAATACAATATAATCAAAGTCCAAAAGCATGAGATATCGCTAAATAAAAAATGTCACTTTCTCTTTTGGAATGAAAAGATTTCTAACATGTTGATTTGATACTACGTATATATCATTTGACGATCCGACGAAGAATTAATTAGCAAGATATATATATAGAGAGAGAGAAGTTAAATCACTTCTGTCTTGACCATACTTGTCCGAAATAGTTTTTTAAGATTAACAATATTCCGAAAGATTTGACATTTGAATTAATTTATCACTTCTCTATAAGCTAAAAGAGGAAACACTGTCCCAAATTTCTATCTTTGATCGAGTGCCAACAATTTTTTTTTTTTTTTTTTTTGTATTCGAACTTCATTAATCCGACTAATTATGATCCGAGGGCGCTATAAAAAACCATGGTCGTGACCTAGATCTATTCTTTCCTATTGATGGAAGTTGGAGAAAGTGCCTCTGGAGCATGGCCCTCCACAAGAGCTATTTTTTTATGTTAGCATATCAATTGTTCTATTAATTTTGGCCACTCTTTTAACTGTCTGTACCAGAATTTTCTACTTAAAATCTTCAAAGCTACTACCTCACTTTACGTCCATATCCAATGCTTCTACCAGCACTTAAACCATAGAATGACAAAAGAAATTTGAACACAATTTTAGAACGTCACAATAAAACGGTACGACAAAATGGTGTTATTCCTGGCCTATCAAATGTACATCAATTTCGCTTTACCTACATCTTAATTAGGGACGCATGCGCTCCCAACTATATTTTTCTTTTTTACTATATTGATATCTTTTTAATTGGCCATAAAACCGATCTCCCCCGCCATCTCTTACAGGAGCAAATGCAAAGATAGTCATTCTCAGGGATGCTAATTAGAGATTAACTAGTACTTATTTTGTCCTGAAATTTTAAGCTAAAAATCTCAACTTCAGGACAATTCAGGAAATTTTTGTCTTGAAAAATTAAACTGAAAAACATAAATTCAGGATATACTGACTAAATCTTAAATAGCAGCCATGTAGAGTGGCTACTGCTGTCATTTCTACACTCTCCCACACTATGTACGCTGGCCTTTGTTTTAAGGGATTTTTTCCTATCTATACCATATATGAAACTTTATTACTAAAAATGTGCATATTTCCATTATTACCCGCCATGTTTATATTTTTCCTACAAAATTTATACCATTCATTAAATACTCAATATTAAGAGCTGATTCCTTCCAAATTAGGCGCCTACAAATCTGGGATAAATATTTGAATAGCTTATTCCTTCCAAATTAGGCGCCTAAAAATTTGGGACTAAATATTTTTTCATATTCACATCAGATTTGTTTCCTCCTTTTTCTGCAGGCTTCTCTTTCCTCATTTTTCACGTATTTCTGTTTCTCTAAGTATATACCAGTCTTCCCTTTCTAAAGCTCAGGGTCTTTTTGATTTGGTTCTCCTCTTTTTTCTTTTAGGAATGGCTGAGCATATTTAAATATGCAAGACTCTGTTTTCGTCAACTATTCGAAGGGAGGAGCTCTTGTTCTTGACGGGAGTGAGCTGATGCGCTTGGGTCAACAAATTTTCTACAAAAAAATCTACAAATAAACTACAAATCAGTTTAAGTATGTATAAAGCAATATTGTTTTAATGGTATCTACAAATTACTATATTTATACTACAATTAAACTGCAATCTATATTAAAAAAAATATTGACTACAAAATTTTCTCCTAATCTACAAATTTTCTACAAAAAATCTACAAAGAAACTACAAATCGGTTTACGTATGTATAAAGCAGTATTGTTTTGAAGGGTATCTACAAAATTACTACATTTATACTACAATTACACTACAATCTAAGTTGAAAAAAAATGTTGACTACAAAATTTTCTCTTTATCTACAAAATTTCTTCAAATAAACTACAAATCAGTTTAAGTATTGTATAAAGTTGTATTGTTTTTAAGGGTATCTACAAAATTACTACATTTATACTACAATTAAACTACAATCTTATGTGGAAAAAAAAATGTTGACAACAAAATTTGCTCTCCATCTACAAAAAACTACAAATAAACTACAATTGCACCCACACTGTCACACTTATATTGGGTCAGATGTTTGTTAACCTAAGTTTTTTTCTAGTTTGTTCAAGAACTTGCGTGTCAATGCCGGATAAGTGTGACACTTGAAGAATCTCTACCTTTAAAGAACCTCTAAATTGCCTAAAAAGACAATTTATTTAACATTGAAATAATATAGACTAAATGGAGCTGGAGGTTATAGAAGATTCATATGGCTACCCCACAAATTTACAATTGAGAATTGTTGAGTTGATTGATTGAGGAAGTCTTCTGTGTCATACATCTACTCTCGATCTCGTAGTTGTTAAAATTCATAAAAATATCTGACAATTACCAGAAATTACAATAACCGAAACAGTGGGTTTCATATTGAATCTCTTTAGCTAAAAATCTGATTATACTCAATGGGTCTCATCTCTGTATTTTTTGAGAAGAAGAAGAAATGGAAAAGAGAAAGAAATAGGAGGGGGAAAACGACGCTGGTCATATCTTAGGAATTAAGGGGAGAGAGAAACGTGAGATATATGGATACCTTTAATTAAGGAGTAAAAACTGTCCATTAATTAGACCCTTAATTAAGTATGATATAGGATTGGTAATTTAGTATACGGATTTGTAATTAAATCAAACCTTAAACATTGCGGGTAATAAGGTTTCCTATGTGGCATAGGAAGATAAAAATCCCTTATTTTTTAATTGTGATCGCCCCAAGACTTGTAGGAAATAGTATAAATTTCAACACTTGTCGATTCGTAAGCATACAACTATTTAATTAGCAAACATACATTTAGCAACTATTGATGTTCAGAACAGTATTTATTCAAAAGAATAAAAGAAATCAGTTTCAATTGAAATATTACATAATCGAACACTTCAGCTATAGCTTTTAGCTTTTATCCTGGGGATAAGACAGTAGAAAACACAATGAAAATGACGAAGAAATTTTTTTAAATGCTATGCTTTGCGAATTATTGAAATAAAGGGTATCACTTTCTTTCTCTAGAATGAAATTTTCTCTCAGCTAGCGTTGAACATGAGTAGGAAATCAAAGGTTGGAGCGAGAGGGCAAAGCAATCAAATGACAAATTCAGATTAAAATCATGAAAATCATGGAGGAAAAGGTGTTCCGAGGACAGAAAATTCGAAGAAACCAAGGAATTTGAATGCAATTACTAGAATAGTTCCATTAAACATCGAGCGAGTATCAGCTATGTCAACACCAATGGTAACACTAGTGAGGACACAGTCTGAAAATATGCAGGAGAGTGATGTAGGTAGAAGATCGTGCTGATAAGCTGGAGGAGGAAGCAATTGCACTTGAATCACAAAGCGAGACACAAGCACAAGGATCTAGAACATCGTGGAGCAAAATTGTGGCCACTGTTCCATTGGAGGAAGGTGAGGATCTGAAACGAGAATCACCTATTAACAGTAATGTGAAAATAACACTTGAAGACATTCATGAGGAGGTAGAATATTGAAAAACTGGAGTTGTATGCTATGTGTTGGGATCCAATCCACCACAAAACGTCATGGAATGGTATTTTAATAGAATTTGGGAAAAGCTGGGAATTGACTTAGTAGCACAAGTACAAAGAGGTGTATTTCTGGTCAGATTCCATACAACAGAAAGCATAACTAAAGTAGTAGAAGAAGGAGTCCAGATGTTTGAAAGAAAGCCAGTAATAGTCGAACCATGGCAGCCGGATAGAGAAATGAAGAAGGAGATAATGGATAACATACCAGTATGGATCAGACTACTAGGGCTGAATGTGAAATACTAGGGAAAGCAGGCTTTAGCAAAAATAGCGGGACTGGTAGGGAACCCATTGAAAGTAGACAAAACAACTACTATGAAGGAGAGAATGACATATGCTAGAATACTGGTGGAAGTACCAATCAATAAGGTATTCCCAGATACCGTAATGTTTGAAAACGAGCATGGCCACATTGTGGAACAATAGGTGGAGTTTGAATGGAAGCCAATACTATGTACTAAATGCAAAAATTATGGACATGAACTGAAGGAATGCATGAAATATATAAAGGAAGAGATAAGTAATAAAGCTCAAGAAAGGAAGGAAGAAGAACAACAGGGAATAGAGAAGACTAACAAAGGTGAACAACTAGAAGCTACCAAAGAAGTTGACAAAGGTATAGATGTTGAAGAGAGGTTTCAACAAAGGGCAGGGAAGCAAGTGATAGGAAAGCAAAGACAGGATAACATTAACTACAGAAGAGGTTATGCAAGGAGAGGGATAGTGATCAGAGAACCTCAAATTAATATAGGAAACTCATTTGCAGCATTAGGTGGACAAAGCAACAGGAATGAAGGGATAGCTAAACCTTCCTGCCCTGGAGAATGTGAAGCTGAGGGAGGTCCTGGACATGGGAAGGGTGGGGGACTCCCCAACCGCAATGGATAGCATTGGTTTTTGGAATGCCAGAGGCCTAAACAAGCTAGATAAACAGAAAGAATTGAATCTGTTTATCCACTATTTGAGAGTTGGCGTGTTTGGGTTTTTGGAAACAAAGATAAAAAGAGCTAAGGCACATAAAGCTTCTTTTTATCTTTGTCAAGGCTGGTCGTTTATAATAAATCTAGACAAACATCTAGGAGGTAGGATTTGGATGGTATGGAAACCTCAGCTATATGAGGTGGATATCAAAGAAGTCACTGAACAAATGATTCACAACACAGTAAAGCACAGAGGGAATCGACTGAGTTTTAATGTTACTATGGTATATGGCTTCAATGAACAAGCAGCAAGGAGGAGACTATGGGATAACATCAAACAAATAAGGGTCAAATTGGATGGACCATGGGCTGTAATGGGAGACTTTAACTGTGTTTTAAGCAGGGATGAAAGAATTGGAAGCAAGGTAACTATGGTTGAAACTAGAGAGTTTAGACAATGTATAAAAGTCTGTGGTTTGAAGGAACTGAGATCCTCAGGAGCCTTCTTCACATGGAACAACAAACAAGGAGGAGACAGTCGAGTATACAGCATGATAGATAGAGTGTTGGTTAATACTGAGTGAGTGACTGACTTACCTGCATCAGAGGTGCATTCATGAATGAGGGTATCTATGATCATTGCCCAACAATCATAAACTGGGAAGGAAGGAATGCAGGAGGAAAAAGACAGTTCAAATATTTCAACATGTGGAGTGTGATTCTAGAATTCCAAACAAGAGTAAAAGAAGTTTGGGAAAAGGAAATACAAGGCACACAGATGTACAAATTGGTAGGAAAGCTGAATAGAACCAAAAATGTGCTGCAAAGATTGAACAAGGAAAGATTTTCAAATGTGGAAAAAGGGCTGAAACAGTAATGATCAACCTGACAGAATGCCAAGAAAAGATTCAAAATGATCCTAAGAATGTTGAATTAATTGAAGAGGAAATCAGATGGATGAAAGAAAGCATCAAATGGAAGCCTACTAAAGAGCAATTTTTGAGACAAAAAAGTAAGATACAATGGATAAGACAGGGGGATCAAAACACAAAATACTTCCATAGTGTAATAAAAGCCAGAAGGAATGCAAATAGGATATTCTTTATTAAAGATGCTGAAGGGAAGGAGATAACAGATGTTAAAGGGATAACAGATGCCTTTATAAATTTTTACAAGAAACTGCTAGGGAAAGCAAAGGAGATAGGCAACATGTGTGCAGTAATCTTGTTAGGAAAGGGCAAGTGGTCCAACAGGAACAAAGAGAACAACTAGAAGCTCTAGTTACAGATAAGAAAATTAAGGCAACATTATGGTCAATTGTAGGAGACAAATCCCCAGGACCTGATGGCTATGGGTCTCGATTCTTTAAGGACTGCTGGCTAGTGATAAAGCAACATGTCATTGGTAGTGTAATGGAATTCTTTAACACATCAAAAATGCTCAGGATAATCAGTAAAACAACTCTAACTCTCATCCTAAAAACAACTATGCAGCTGAAGTAGGAGACTATAGACCTATTGCATGTTGCAATATGGTCTATAAAATAATATCAAAGGTATTGTGTAATAGGCTAAAAGGAGTTTTGCCTTCAATAATAGCTGAGAACCAAAGTGCATTTGTAGAAGGCAAAAGTATAGTGCAAAACATCCTGATATGTCAAGACCTAGTGAAATTGTATAACAAGAAGAAATCAACAAGCAGTTGTTTGATTAAAATTGATCTAAAAAGGGCATATGATTCTGTGGAGTGGGGATTTGTGGAAGAAATGTTGCATGCACTAAACTTTCCTCCCAAATTCTTCAAATGGACTATGGCTTGCATATCAACAACCCAATACTCGATTGCTTTAAATGGAGGAATATATGGATGCATTGAGGGGAGAAGGGGATTGCGACAGGGAGATCCTATATCACCTCTTTTTTTTGTAATATGTATGGAGTACTTTACAAGAATAATGCAATGGGTAGCCACATTAGATGGATTTGCATTTGACACAAAATGCAAAGGTTTGAAGCTAAATCACTTATGCTTTGCAGATAATGTCTTAATGTTTTGTAAAGGTGAGTATCAAAGCATAATGCTTATGTTGAGAGGATTGCAAACATTCTCTGATGCATCTGGGCTGAGCACTAATGCTGGAAAATCTAATGTATATAGTGCAAATATGGATAGACAATGTTTAGAAGGTATATATGAAATAACTGGATACAAATAGGGGGAATTGCCATTCAAATACTTGGGGGTTTTAATAGTTTCAAGGAAACTGAATTCAGGAGACTGTGAAATGCTAGTGGACAAACTTAGTACAAGAATCCACTCTTGGGGATTGAGAAACTTATCATACGCAGGAAGGGTCCAATTGATCAACTCAGTGCTAATAAACATTCATTCATATTGGGCAACTATATTTATACTACCAAAGAAGGTTCTGAAAGGCATCACTGCAATATGTAGAAACTACCTATGGGTTGGGAAAGATATATCAAATAAGGTGCCACTAGTTGCATGGGATCTTATGTGTAGACCAAAAAAAGAAGGAGGATTGGGAATAAGGGAGTGCATAATATGGAATGAAAATGCTATAGCTAAGTATGTATGGCACATTGCGAATAAAGAAGACACGATGTGGGTCAAATGGATAAATCATATATACATGAAAGGAGACAACTGGTGGCAATATAATCTTCCACAAGACAGCAGCTGGTATTGGAGGAAAATATGCTCTATACGAGATACACATGCTGCAGGTTACACAGAAAATTGATGGCAAACAAGGACAGGAAAATACACAATCAAGAGTGGCTACCACAGGAGAAGAGGAAGACGGGAACAATGGGCTTGGAGCAGAGAGGTTTGGAATAAAATGAACATCCCTAAACACAGCTTCATCTGCTGGCTTGCAATGAAAAGGAAACTGATGACAAAAAATAGAACACTGAGAATGAAAATAACAGAAGATAGTGATTGTATGCTATGTGAAGGAAAAACAAAAACAATGGACCACCTATTCTTTGAATGCACATTCTCTAAGATTTGCTTAGCCGAAGTATTCAAATGGCTAGGTATTGTCACACCTCCTTTTTACATACTCGCGAGGGCGCAAGGGAGTTTTTTCCAATTAAAGGACAATCGAAACGAGATTGGTTTATTTATTTCAGAGTCGCCACTTGGGAGATTTAGGGTGTCTCAAGTCACCAATTTTAATCCCGAATCGAGGAAAAGATTGACTCCATATTACAGTCTGCGTACCAGAAATCTGGATAAGGAATTCTGTTAACCCGGGAGAAGGTGTTAGGCATTCCCGA